AAGGTATTTATTGATGCTGACCAAACTGTCTCCTGGAGGTCTTAGAGACTGTGCTACATGTGTCGTTTGCCTCTCTGGATCCACCTTCGACCCTTCTACAATCAGCTCCAAAGTCAAGCTTCAGTCTTCCATCCCACCAGACAGCAGCTGTGGCCATGGGCACCCATCCTCCCGCGCTCCACGTTTGCAATTGCTCCAGTCACACTTCCTTGACCTCTGGGTCCCAGTTACATTTGGCCAATGGGAAGTGTGAGAATAAGGATGCTCAAGGATGCAGTCAACCTCTTCATTCTCCTGGTTCCTCTCACTGGCCAGAGGCTGCAGGGCCTGCTCCCTCCACCAGAGACCACAGCTTTGGCAGGTGGGCAGCTATCTCTTACATCCTCTCCCACAGCCAGGCCTCTTCAGGATTCTAACACACTAATAGGTTTTTTAAATTCTAGAGTGTGCCTCAAGTGACATGCAATCAGTAAGCAATAGGTTTTCCCCCCCCCCAATAATAGGTTTCTCCACCGATGCAGTAAGCCAGATCAAGCTGAATTGAAAAAGTATAACAGGTTTATTTGAGCAAAGCAACTCCTGGGTGGGTTCCCCAGTCCCAGGGATGGCGGCCTGAGAAGCCATGCCCACAAATGAAAGCAGGGAGACTTTATAGGTTGTAGGGGAAGGGTGATGACGTGTCTGCCACTAGCTGGGTTTGTGACCAAGTATGGTCAAAAGCTGAGCACTTTAGGCAGGGACTGGGGTAGCTGGCAACTTCAGGGAAGGAAGCAGCAGTAGCTGCTAAGAATGTGGAATTGGGCTTTCTGGCACCTTTCCACTGTTCAAAGACTCTCTGAGAGGGTGGGGTTTGGAGAGAGAGACAGAAAAGGGGGTTTCTGGATCCTGCAGGAGTGAGCTGGAAGTTCCAATGGAACACACACACACACACACACACTCCCTTTGGATGTGGTTGGCCCTGGTATGCACCAGTGTTCCTATTTATTTAAAGGTTCATTTTATTTCTATGTATGTGTGCATCTGTGTGTACGTGTGTGCGTGTTTGTGTGTGTGTGTGTGTTTGCATCTGTGTGTATGTGTGTGTGTGTTTGCACATGTGCACATGCACACTTGTGTGTCAGTGCCAGCGGGGGCCAGAAGAGGGAGTCAGAAGCCCTGGTTACAAGCCAGTGTGAGCCACCCAATGTGGAAGCAGGCGTGGGTGCTAGGACGTGACTTCTGTCCTCTGCAAGCAGCAAGTGTTCTAACAGCTGCCATCGCTCAGGCCCCTTCACTGTCTCTCAGTTTCCTGAGACCCAGTCCACATTTTGTAAAGTCTTTGAATTGCTCCACTGTAGGAGTTTGGACCCAGTTTCTGCAGGATGTTTCCCACCCTCCCTCCGCTCCAGCTCCATTCCACAGGCTCTACGGATAACCTGCCCCACAATGGCCATGGTCTTCACTTGCTTCAGCCAAGCTTACACGCGATTATACTCCAGGACCTTGTATACATCCGCCTAAGTCCCAGACCTCCACTTATCTCTTAAATCTCCAACCTGAGAAAACAGGCATTTGTGCCTAGCCTTAGAAATAATCTCAGTGCTCGCTCGGCAGCACTAAAATTGAAATGATACAGAGAAGATTAGCATGGCCCCTGCGCAAGAATAACACACAAATTCGTGAAGCGTTCCATATTTTTAAAACTTTATGTAAAAGCATTTAGCTAAACTGCAGTTTCCCTTAGAGACTTTGCCCTTCCTATTCTTGGGGTTTTACCAGATTTACTATGAAAAACAGTCACAGAAACAATAATCAGAGAGAGAGAGACAGAGAGACAGAGAGAGAGATTCCTGGGATAGAAAGGCCACATAAAAAGATAAGCCACAGAAGAAAATTCCAAGCCACATACAACTTTGTGGGCAACTTGTAAAATTGTCTCTAGGTACTTTCATTTATGATAGCTAGAGAAAATAATAAAAGCATTTGATTCTGGTTAAAAAAGAAAATCTCCATGGAGTGTTAGAACAGTTCTTAAAAATCTCAAATTATTCTTTTTCTCTCCACCAATACTTTTCTTACCAATTACATGTATAAAGGGTTACACACTTACATACATACATACAATTACATACTTCAAGGGTTTGATTGTTAGGTTTATCGTGTTTGGATTTGTGGTGGGAACATCACAGGATGGCCCAGTCCATCTTGAAAACTCAACCATTTAGTAAGGACCTGTAGAATGGGCCCTGCCTTTCCCTGCATGGCCTCTTGCCTCCAGCCCTATCCAGCCAGCCCACCACGAGGCACACTGGCATTCCCGAGGTTCGATGCTCTTGCCAGGAGGATCCCGGCAGTGGGCCTCTCTTCCCAGGGCTCCTTTCCCAACACCTCAGTGAAGTCAGGTCTGTGCAAGGGCTTCAGCTTTTGAAATCACTTAACCTACTTCTGAGACTTCAGTACAAAGACCAGCTGCAGAGTTAACACCTCCCAGGAGCCTCTCCCTGTGTTCTGTCCTAGATTGCCTGAAGAGGTAGATTGGAAACTGAGGCCCAGAAAGGAAAAGTGTCCACCAGCCGGAGTCCCAGGAGAGGCCAGGGAAGTAGGGAGTGTCCATGTTGCTAAAGATAGGTTCTGACGTTCTGAGCTGGGGGTGGGGAAGG